TTAAATGGTGCCTTCTAAGCCGAATTTCAAAATTTCCGATACAAGCGAAAATGCGAGTCCCGGGAAGTAATTGACAAGAAGTGGACGCGATCGCTGGGGCAAGAGCTTTATTTGCCCTTCGTTTAGGATTCCAGTTCAAGCCTCTCCTCAGAGACAGCATTAGGTAATCTGCGCAAGCGTTTTGATATTAATAATTGTGCCTTTCACAACACATTCTCCGTCTTTAAGAAGAAAAAAACAAGTTGTGGTATCTTTGCTAATAACGAGGGGACACAACCACGTTTTAATGGGACTATTAAGTCTAAAGAATGGATAAAACATTACAGCTTCGTAAATGCGTGAGCATTCATGATATATATAAACTTATCCATACCAGACAGCCATTCAGACAGATATTTTCAATCCGAAGAAATATATATTTCAAGGGGTACGCTATAACAGTTAAGGCGCTCCACGAACGACGTTGATATTTCATATTTGCCTATCCAAAAAATGCGTGACAGAGGCCTTCGTCTATAGTTCATCGTGTTAACAGTGAGACTGCGGTCCACTTTCCTGTTCATCTAACGTCAAATCTCAACATTACATTCAATGGATGGATCTCTGTCCTAGGAAAATTCTCCCGCCAAATACGTGTTTTAATAATCCGCCCATATTAACAACATATACAAAGTTTATTATTTCAACAACAAAAAACTAACCAAAACCCGGCAAGATGTCAAGTGCGACAAAAGCAAACCCCCGAATTAAAATTACAACTGTTCATAAAAGCTATCTAAGCCCTGTCCTATTTCCCATATAGAGATTCCGGTACCAAGTTCTTGAACCAGGGATATCCTGCGGGCAATTGAGAAGGCAGAGGGAAAGTATACGACGTGTTCGTGTCCACTGGAATCTCTAAAGGACAAAAAACAGGGAAAACAATGCGAAAGTCCAGATTTCCAACGCGGATAACCTTAGACAGCCAGGACAAGAATGATGCGTACTGATACAGCTTGCATGCAGAGGCAGCAATCTTTAGGACTTACTCGAATTCTATGTAATGTTCAGCCCAGTCACTGCTCCAGCGGAACTTTGGATGGTGCTTATCCACCATTTTCACAAACCTTAATAGGAATCAAGATGAAGATGATATTCTCAGGGCGCTAATTCTCGAGCAGAGCAAACAACAAAGTTTAATACGATTTTGCAAGGAAGAGCGTGACATCCACACAAGGTCAGATAGGTTCCCTAGGTTAAATTCAAACGATAGCAAAGGCATTTC